CTCACCTCATCGGTATATGAACATCTGTATTCAAGCGCAACGAAAATCGAAATTTGTCACTTTTAGGACGGTACTGGATCCACTGAGTGGTTCGCAGAGGTCCGCCGATTGGCTTAAAACTTCGGCAGGAACTTGCACAACATGTTTAGACAATAAGATGGTCTTCGAAATGAAAGATGGCTTCGATAGAGCCAATTTTATCGAACGTATTTTTAAAACGACACCATGCCTTATAGGGTTAAAGAAAGTTACTTTTTGGTGCACTCACTGGATTTGTGGTAACGTCCATTGCACTTTCTGCACCCCTGGGGTCGAGAGGGTGGATCTTCCATTCACCCTTCTCCGCTTCACGTTGTTTGATGAAGTTGTCCAACCATTCTTGCCTACCAGTAGGCTTGCTTTCAAAGGTGAGTGGCATGAGCTTCCATGGCATGTCTAGCTTTAGTCCACCACAAATTATTTCTTTGTTGGAGCGCTTCTCTTTTAACTTTTTCTCTAGTTCTCTAATTGCTGCTTCTTCTTTTTGCATCTTGCTCTCAATCTCCTCTATTCTGCTGTCTATTTCCATGCTCGCATCTTCTCCCATCGCCACATCTACCTTGTTTATTTCTGCCTCTAGTTCTTCCATCCCCATTTCTATTTCTCTATTCTCTTCTACCTTCTCTTCCGTGTCAGAGTCTGATAGTGTCATTCCTGCTACCATTTGCTTTGCTATTACACTAGCGCTTTCTTCCTGCTCGCTCTCACTATCACTTGACAGAAACTCTCTTGTTATCATTGGTGGTATGAATGCTTGGCTGGCATAATGTTGCCTTATTTTCGGTGGCAAGAAATCCAAGTCTTTTTCACGTTCTTGCGTGAATTTGGAAGTGCTGGGCAAACTCATGTATTGGCCTGGGGTCATAGTGCATTCCTCTTCACCCCACAGCCATGAAGTGCTTGTAGATTCTTTGGGGGAACCAGGAGACTCCAAAACTTCTGAAGCATCTTCTACCATCTTTGTTGATGTGGTTGGTGAACACATGTGAACACAGCCTGATGCCTCTCTCACAGGCAGCAGGACTTCCCTTTCCACCATTTTTTTGAATGTGGTTGGGGAACACATATGCCTCCCTGGGAGGGTCGGGGAATGCCCCCTGGCTGCTTGGGCCTGCCTGGGCCTGATTTCTAGGGTAAGCCTTGATTTCTTGGGGCATTTTCAAATTCTGTAACAGGAAATACTAATTTTTGGTATCTCTCCTTCCCCTTTTCTTTCTAAAAGAGTCTCATTTGGGCACTTTTGCTTACCATTTGGGTCCCTTGGGCAATAGCCTTCCTCAGGGCTGCGGCCCTCTTTTTCTGCCTGATGTTTGGGTCCCCTTCAGGCTTCATGAGCTTTGCCTTTTTCGCCTCCCAGCTCTCTTTTCCTTCCCCTATTTTTCTCTTGACACTTTCTACTACTTTATCCAGCTTTTCTTGGTTCATTTTCTCCGTCTTGGTTGGCCCTTTGGAGGGTCTTCTTGCTTCCAAGATTTTTCTTTCTTCACTTCTTTTGGGCACAATCACTTTTAGATCCTGGAAGGTTCTTTTCTGTTGGGGTATTTCTTCCATTTTTCACACAATGTTAGAGAAAATGCACTCGGATGGCTTTGGATAGCTTGGGTGGATCCGCGTCCGACGTCTCTGGTGGATTTGAAGGGGAATACCCGTTAGGCTTAAGATAGCGTCAGTAGCTCTCTTTTGTTTTCGTTAAGCCTACTCGTTGCCTAGCGACCTACCCGATTGCCTAGCAACCGGTTGGTACCCGGTACCCGTTTCCTAGCGACCGGTTCCGATTTGAATTTGTCGCGCCTCTCGACGATCGAGTTCGAGTTTTCGAGTGCTAAGATAGTTGCGCTCATTCCACAAACAACAACCAAGCGCTAGCGATGTTGTTGTTGTTGTCGTCGGCTTCGTCTGGACATCTTGCTAGCCTATCTATGTGGACAATTAGCTTTTTATCGGGGTTGTCTGCCCTTTCTATCCGCGCATTGCAGTCATTTATTGGCTGAGCGATTAGCGAAGCCTATTACTCCAGTGATGATCAAAAAGTTTCGCGTCTGTCTGTCTGTTTGTCTGTCATCACGATAACTCGAGAACGAATTGAGCTACCGACCTGGGATTTTCAGGGTCGTTTTGTATCATAAAAAGACAGATCGAGTTCGAAGAAGAGCATTCTAGCTCAAAAATTGGATTAAAAAAAATCAAAAACCACAGGTCCTCAAAATAAAGTTTTTAAAAAATATTTGTTTACAGTCTCCTTATGGGTAACTCATCAAAGTAGAGCCCTTCGGACGAAAATTTTCTCCGTTTTGCTCTAGTTCAAACCGTTGAGGCGCTAGAGGGTATTTTTGACGAAAATAAGCGAAACAAGCTGGGCCCGCTCTTCCGCCA